CCGGAAGTGCACTTCACACAGCGCTCGGTTCGCAAAGCACTCCTCTCCCTGGACATCCACAAGTCGAGTGGGCCTGACGGAATCCCCCCAATTGTGCTGAGGACGTGTGCTCCAGAGTTGGCACCGGTTTTAACGCCTCTTTTCCGGTACTCCTACTCCCTAGGCGTAGTCCCAAAATCATGGACGACGGCTTACGTCCACCCGATCCCTAAAAAAGGCGACCGTTCTGACCCGTCCAACTACCGGCCAATCGCCATCACCTCCTTGTTCTCCAAAACAATAGAGTCCATTGTAAACTGCCAGCTCATGAGGTACCTTGAAGATCACCAGCTGATTAGTGACCGCCAATACGGTTTTCGCCGTGGTCGGTCAGCTGGTGATCTTCTGGTCTACCTAACTCACAGATGGGCGGAGGCAGTAGAGTTCAAGGGGGAGGCATTGGCCGTTAGTTTGGACATTGCGAAGGCCTTCGATCGGGTTTGGCACAAAGCGCTTCTTTCGAAGCTCCCCTATGGCTTCCCGAGAAATTGTGCGATTGGATCATCAGCTTTCTTGCAGATCGGAGCATCAAGGTCGTTGTAGACGGTGCAAGCTCCGATTGAAAGAAAGAAAGAAAGAAATGCATTTTATTCAAGTTCAAACATGCAGCATAACAAGCAAAAAGTAGATATAAGTCAAAAGATAAATACAACTAAATTAAAAGTAACTTAACATTATTATAAATTTAAGAGAATATTTTAAAAATACCCTGTGCTGCAGCATGAAACTGTGAAACGGACCGGACTCAGTGATAGCACTGGTTTTCAGTCCAGCCCTTATCCAGAGGCAGCTCGGGCGGCTGAGTGCACGCTCGCTCTAGATGCCCGAAAATTCGTAATAAACTATAAACATATACATATGCATACCCATACCTATATATAATTGGACTGAAAGCGGATTTATTATTTATTTTAACTTACTGGTAAATTCATTCACCGTTAATTTAGTAATAAAATTACTACATTAAATAATTATCATAGCTATTTTACCTGGATACTACGTCTTAACCAACATCTTTTTGTTCATTGAGTAGAAGTAATTTATATTTGTTTTTAAAACTATTAATCGTTGTAAGGCTACGTAAAGGAGGTGGCAGATTGTTCCAACACTTTGTTGCATTGTATTTAAAACTACCTCTGAATGCAGTTGAGCGGCTAAAAGGATATACTAATTTTTGTTCAATTGATCTGAGATAATGTTTATTATTGTGATCTTTGGCCCAATCAAGCTTATTGTACAGATATAATGGTTCTTTGTTTTTTACAATACCAAACAAAAGAGTGGCAAAGTGTAGACGTCTCCGGAGGTCCATTTTTAATATATTTGCTTTGTTGAAAAACGGTGTTACATGTGTACGTGGTGGTAGGTTAAAGCAAAAACGCGCACAGGCGTTTTGCACCCGTTGTATAATTTGTTTGGTACGAGCTAGAAGTCGCGGTCCTATGAGAGAATCAGCATAGTTGAATTTTGATAGAACAAGGGACTCGCATAAATTTACACGCAGAGTCAGGTTTAGGTAATTGCGAATTCGATAAAGTACTTTTAGCCTAAAAAAAGCAATTACGTACAATGTCAAAAATGTGCTTCTCGAATCGCAGCTGCTCGTCCATCACTACACCAAGATTTCTCGCTTCAGGGACTCTCTCTATTGTATCCTTATTTATGTAAACAGCGGAGCATTTCGATATAATCTTTCGTACCTGTGTTGGCGTTCCCAGTATCATGTATTTTGTTTTTTTTTTGGATTCAGAACTAGTGTGTTACGCTCAGACCACAGAGATATGCGATTCAGGTCGGCGTTAAGCTTTGCCAAAGCTATATCTGTGTCGCAGGGCTTAAAAGAAATATATACCTGTAAGTCGTCTGCATACATGTGAAACTTACAATGCTCTATATTGTTTACAATATCCGCGCTGTAAAGTATAAAAAGCAGTGGTCCTAAGATAGAACCCTGCGGAACTCCCCGTTCAACCCGCCGATTATCCGAAGTGATTCTGGTGTTATCGTTTCTTGTTAATACGACCTGCTGGGAACGGTTCTTAAAATAGCTGCTAAACCACTTAATAGCATTTTTACTTAAACCATAATATGATAACTTAGAAAGTAGTAAGGGAACATTAATGGTATCGAATGCCCGTGAGAAATCCAGCAAAGTCAAAATAGTGCCCTCTCCGTTGGATTGTGCTGTCAGTATGTCATCTACGACCTGAATTAAGGCAGTTGTAGTGCTCCGCTGTTTTCTGAAACCCGATTGCAGCCTGGGCAGTATATTATTGGTCTCAAGATATTGAGTTAATTGCTTACATACTATTTTCTCTATAATTTTAGATAAACACGGTAAGATGCTGATGGGTCGAAGGTCAGACATACAAATAGGATTACTAACTTTTGATATAGGTTTAACAAGGGCTTGCTGCCATCCAGTAGGATAGGTGTTTGTTACGAAAGATTTATTGATTATTGAAGTTATTACTTCAAGGCAATCTGGAAGTAACAACCTTATCATGTCTAGTGATATCCCATCGCAACCAATTGCGTTAGTATGTAATGATCTTAAAATAGTTGCAACCTCAGATTCTGAGATTGCTTGAAATTGAAACATAACATCAGAAAAACGATGAAATTCAAAATAGGTGAGGAGAGACATAGCTACGTTACTTTCTCCGGAGATATTTAGAAAATGATCGTTCATAGCATTTGGATCATTGAAATGAGCTGGCAGAGAATTATCTTTGTTTTTTATTTGTACATGTTGCTTAATATGCTTCCACATGAATTTTGGTTGATTCATTTTTGAGTTAACGAAAAATTGGAAGTACGCCCTTTTTTCAGAGTCAAGAGCACTTTTAACTATAGATTTTAGCTCTTTGTAATACTTCTTGTGTGAGTCCAGATTTGTCTTACGAGCCCTCACCTGTGCTTCATCACGCGTCTTCATCATACACTTTATGTTATATGTTATCCAAGGATAATGTTTGTTTTTTATGTAAGCGGTCTTCATTGGTGCATTTTTATCAAAAATATTTATTACAGTTTTGTTAAAGATACCCACCATATCATTGACATCATTCAATAACGTGAAGCTGTGCCAGTCTATATGGTTAAGGTCATCTTTGAGAATATCTATATTGATAGTTTTCAATGGTCTAAACGTAACCCATCTAGGCTTTAGCCGGTCTTTTAGAATATTAAATTCACACAAAACTACGGCATGACTACTTAAATCACTAATATAGTCTACTTTTATATGAGATACCGGTGCGTCAGTACACACAACATCTAAGAGAGTCTGACTACTTTCGGTAAAATGCGTTGGTACTTCAACATATTGTGTAAGATTACAACAGTTGAGAAAGTCATAGAACATCTTAGTACTTACGCTATGTCTATTTAGGAGGTCAATATTAAAATCCCCAATTAAAACAGTATAATCGTATCCTGCAAAGGACCCTAACGACTCGCTCAACGCTTCCAAGAATAATTGTACACTAAGCCACGGGGGACGATAAGCAGTGCCTATGATAAGTGATTTACCACTCATTTTAATACTTATCCACATTTGCTCCACCATAGGACAAACAGGATGCTCAATAATTCGCGTAGTTAAGCCCTGCCTCAAATAAAAACCTACCCCCCCCACCGCGTGCACGGACTTCGGCAGGTCGGGGAATGTGTCGCAGTCGGTAACCTGGGACTGATGGCGCACGCCCTTCCTCACCTTCCCGAAGCCATGTTTCATTGATGGCCATTATGTCCACTAAATGACGCGCCATGGCAACCAAGAATTCATCGTGTTTGGTGCCAAGAGATCCAGGATTTAGTACACCAATTTTTAATTTATTTAACTTAACCATTTTTACTAAAATTGTATATTTTTGCAACGATATAGATAATTAATTCACTATAATACGTGTACAAAACTTGATTATGATTCCATACAATAACGGTTAAAATTACAACTTTAAAAGATACATGACTACTTAAAACGAATAACGTTATAACTATAGTTAAAAAACGGACATGGATGATAACGAACGAGACTATATTATTACTTGAAACGCTGCAGCACGGGTCTGGGCAAGCAAAAGACCTAGGAAATAACTTAAATTTATCGAAAACAATAAAACAATAAAATAACACTAATTTGTCTAAAACAATAAAATAATAAAATAACTTAAATTTATCTAAAACAATAAAACAATAAAAAACCTTAAACCTATCTAAAACAATAATTGTAGTTAATGCTATAAATATAATATTTCTATAAATGTAAGAGGGTTTTTTCCATTTCCATCTCCTACTTTTTAAACAATAAAAATAGTAATCAAGGATGATAATGTGTGAAATCTTTAGTTCAATAGTGTTAAAATAAATCCAATAAATATTAGCCAAATTACTTTTAAGGCGACACAGCAATGAACACATTAATATACGCTTCCAACGTATTACGCTCCAAAAGTCTTTGCTATGTCAAGGTCGGTGCGAATCCGGTGACGAGATGTGTTCGAATCGCGGCGTGCAAAAATGCATCCATCCCGCGTCCATACATACCGCCAGCCCTTACGCCTCCCTTCCTCCCGTGCCTTGTAGAATAATTGCTTATTAATAGGAGTGAGGCGCTCATTTACATAAAACCGGCTCGTCTCAACACCTATGTTTAGTCCACCGGTATCGGCACCGCGTCGCACGCGCGCCGCACGTATCAGTTGATCTCGAATCGCTCGCCGAGTAAGTCGCACAACTAAAGGACGTGGCCTAGGCTTATCGAAGCCGCTTTCGTCTTCGCGACGCCTTACTCCTACACGCCTCACACTTACAATATCGCGCTCGTCCAGCTCAACGCCGATCTTAGTGGCTAGAACTGTCACAACATGCAGGGAATTTTCGCCCTTCAGTTCCGCTACTCCGGATATTTCAATGTCATTGAGTAATAAATCTTGATCCCGCTCATTTAGGCGACACTAGAGTTCAGTTAATGTGTCTTCCAATTTGGAGTCTGTTTTCTGAGGTTGTGGATCCGCCGCGCGCTGTTCAAGATGTATAACCCTTTTTTCAATATCGCCGACTCTATTGTTTAGCTCATCTACATTGGAACTTATTTTTGATATAACTTCTCGAAATGATATTATCTCACGGGCGATTGTAGTTAACTGCTCGCGTATTAATTTTATTTCACTTGCCAAGTTTATGTTATCATCACAGCTCCCTCTGTCGCTAGTGCCCGGTACTACTTCGCCGAGCTCAGTATCTGTGCCACCAGAGCTAAGCGAGCCAGGCGTAGCGCTCACATGGACTTCTTCACTTGGACTCCCCGTCTTACATCCCTGACATTGCCATTTATTTAATTTACGGGCATCGTTTTTAAGGTTAACACATTGCCGATGGAACATATTCAAACAATTAGAGCACTTTGCACCGTCCATTGTGGAGGTGAATCTTCCACAGACACCACACTTATTCGCCATACTTATCTATACTTATCGGGCAGTGTAGGTAAACAGTACTAAATATCGCTAAGAGATGTCACTGTAACTAGTTTGATTTAAAAGCTTGTTTAGAAGATTTAACTTATGTTAGTTTTATTCATATATTTATATTACGCACTTCCTATTATATGTAATATAGTTTCAAGCACTTATATTAAGTTGTACTCACTATACAGAAGCAATCCAAGGACTAACAGCTGATCTTACAATCAGCTGATATGCTGTCAGTTGATTGCAAGCCTATTAATGCTGGTGTTCCACTGGGCTGCGTGCTATCGCCAACGCTGTTTCTTCTGCATATCAGTGACATGTTGCATACCCGTAACATTCTTTGCTATGCAGATGAAAGCACTGGTGATGCTCTTTACACCGGCCGAGCCAATATTTCTCGGGAAAACGTCTCCGAGTGCCGGGACAAACTTGTGTCTGAAGTCGAGTCTCTGCTGGACAGAGTCTCGGATTGGGGGCGACTAAATCTAGTCCAGTTTAACCCCCAGAAGACACAAGTTTGCGCGTTAACCGCTAAAAAAGAACCCCTTTGTCGTATCCCCTCAGTTTCAAGGCACTCCCCTTGTTGCCTCAGCCAGTATCGGAATCCTCGGCGTCGACATATCGAGTGACGTGCAGTTTCGTGGTCACTTGGAAGGGAAGGCCAAATTGATCTCTAAAAAGCTTGGCGTGCTCAGCAGAGCGACGTTTTCATGCCGAACCCTTTAAGGGCTTTGGCCGCACATGGAATACTGTTCCCATCTCTGGGCTGGGGCTCCCCAATACCAGCTTCTTCCACTTGACCGCATCCAGCGCAGAGCGGCTCGAATCGTCGACGACCGAGTGCTTTCCGATCGGCTCGATTCACTGGCGCTGCGAAGAGATGTTGCATCTCTTTGCGTATTTTATCGCATCTATCACGGGGAGTGCTCTGAGGAATTGTTCGGATTAATCCCAGCCGCCAAATTTCGTGAACGCACTACACGTCAAACGTCCCGATACCATCCACACCATCTGGATGCTTGGCGGTCCACCACTGTACGTTTCACAAGGAGTTTTCTTCCACGTACAACCTCTCTGTGGAATAGTTTACCACCGGCGATTTTTCCGGACCGATACGACCTGGGGACCTTCAAGAAAAGAGCTTACTCCTTTCTAAAGGGCCGGCAACGCACCCGTAATTCTCCTGGTGTTGCGGTTGATCATGGGCGGCAGTATTCACTTAACATCAGGTGAGCCGCATGCTCGTTTGCCCCTTCTTCTATATAAAAAAAACGTGTACAGTCTTAAGCAGATTATTCTTCCACCAAGATCGGAAACGATTGTGCCGGTTAGTCGTTCTCGGAATCTGCGGCAACCTCATCGTTGTGTACTCGTGGAAAGGGTAGTTACATCTTCTATGGAAAGTGACTCGAACCTTGGTTAGAACCACTGAAATCTCAGGAGTACGTGTGCTGCACCTTTGTGATCAGGAACAGATTATAGGAAAAGGTACACTGGTTGATACTTGTGAGGAACTGGTTTGGTTGCGTCGGTGCCAATATCTATCGAGTAGGCCCCCAGCAAGGATGCACAAATGAGAGTGACTACACTTTAAGAATACTATCGCAGCGTTCTCTCATCGAATGAAATGATCAAGGCGATGAAGTTGTTACTCAAGTACGCCAATGTATTCTCGTCAAACGATGTTGACATGGGGAAGACTGGCTTAGTTAAACACAATATAAAAACACAAGAAGCATTGCCTATCAGTCAGCGGCCACGAAGATTGCCGTAGCACGTGAAAAGGAAGTGATAACTAGGATTGAAGGAATAGTGAAGGATGGTGTTATTGTACTTTCATCTAGTCCATGGTGTTCACCCGTGGTGCTGGTAAAGAAGAAGGACGGTAGCGTGCTGTTTTGTGTTGACTACCATCGTCTGAACGACCTTACAAAAAGAACAGCTATCCCTTGCCAAGAATTGTTGACACGCTGGACATGCTTACAGGAGTAAAGTGGTTTAGTACACTGGATCTAAAAAGTGGATATAGGTAAGTTGAAATTGACCCTATAGACAAGAAATGACTGTGTTCTTGACGGGAAAGGGTCTGTGGCAATTTAAAGTAATGCTGTTTGGATTTTGCGATGCTCCAGCAACGTTTGAAAGGTTTTTGGAACTTGTACTTACCGGGATAATTGGCGATGCCTGTCTGGTCTGCTTGGATGACATAATCGTCGTAGACCGTGCGTTAGAGGAACATCTTCAAAACCTGGTACGCGTCGGCATGAAGATTCAGAGTTGAGTCTCGACTCGGCGAAACTTTTTACTTGTGAAGGATTTTTCAATAATAGCGGGTAGATATTGAAATGAAATAAAACAAGCTATGTGTAAGGTATTAACAATATTATTATTTATTTCAAAGGCCCACACATGCCATTAAGTGTGAAATATAATATCGTTCAAACGCCCGCCCCGGATTCTTACAGTGGCACGGATATAAATGTTCCAATATTAAAAGACACTTCTGCATAGATCCAGCTGAATTTGAGCGATGGCCTATGTTATGTTCACCTTTAGGGAATCGGTTGATTGTGGTTTGATTGCAAAGACCAGCGATTTTAAAAAACCCCACAAGAAAAGTCTAGCGGCGTAAGATCGCTTGATATTGGTGGCCAATTCACATCCCCCTGAGAGAGATTAGCTTACCCTCAAATCGCTCATGGAGAATTTCAATCGTGGTGTCCGCTGTGTGGCACGTAGCGCCCTCCTGCCGAAACTACATGTCGTCCAGATCCTTATGGTTCAATTTATGTCATTAGACATTGGTTATCATCGTCCTCTAGCACTCGCAGTTGACGTTTATTTATTTATTTAATCTTTATTTTACACATTATGTTACGGCCCTCAGTTGCTCCGACAAAAGTCGACTGGACTAGGGCCCATCAGTAATCCAACTCGACGAGCAACCGAGGGTGCGGGCCCAAATGGGCTATGTATAATTAATTTATAATGGCTGGATAAGCAAACACAAACTTACCGAGTTCCGGAGGTAGGGTAACCACAAGGTGCCGTCAGGGGCAAGTAAATGGTATGTGTGAGTGGTGTAGGAAGGTGTATAATGAAACCTGACGTCACCGATTTAATCGGATAGCAGAAACACATGCGTTGCCCAGTTCCACAAGGTGCAATTACTCCAGAGGGCACCAGCCGTTATCGGAACTCAAGTCCAACGTCACTTAGCATAAACTATAAGAGCACGCGATCTCCTCCCGGATCACAAAGTTAAGCGTTTGAACCGACCAAAAAAAAAACTCCCTCGTACGATATTAAAATACTGCATAAGACACTCGTCGACGCAAATTAATGTCAATCGAAGTTAAGTCAATCACTCAAAACTCAAGGAAAGCCTCGTTGTCACGTATATTAACAAAATAAGACAACACAAAGGAGGCCGTCGTAATACGACGTAACGATTCTTACGTAACTCTCGACATCTAACCGGCACGGCCGTCGCGTACAAACGAATATTCTAGACTAATTTCCTGACCTCCCACCGGCACGGCCGTAGCGCGCAAAGATTCTTCCAGACTAATGGCACCGCCGTAGGCGCAAACCGAACGTCCCCCCCCCCGCGCAAATCTCTTCATCGCCCGAGACGAGCGCCTTGCAAGTTTCAAGTACTACAATTTAGCCTAAACACCTTATATACTAAGGGATATAAAGGGCGGACTTAATTCCTTATGGCATTCTCTGTCAGTCAGCCCTGGATGATTTGAGAAACTGTGGCAGGTGTAATCAATCACTTCATAAATAAATAATAAGGATATAAAACAAAATAAAATGCAAATGAATAGAATAAATATATATTTAGTAAAATATACATACTTACTTAATATATAATATAGGATAAATAATAAATATATAAACGGGTACTTCTTTAAGTTAACTGCCACGTTAAAGGGTTTCTTTTGGATGATGCATGACCTGGTGAACCTTGCGTGGACTGATGTCGTTCCTTATACGGTAATTCTGTTTATTAACACAGCCATTTATCCAAAAATGCATCCTCGTTGCTAAAGATGATTTTTTGGCCAAAATTGGGGTTCTTTCCCTAACAAATCGAAGCCCAGTCAGCGAACAAACGGCGTTGTCTATAGTTATGAACTTTCAGCTCTTGGGTCAGTTGGATCTTGTATGGATGTAGGCCTAATACCTGACGCAAATTTCGCTAAGTTAAAGCCGAGTTCGTTGCAAAAGGTCGAGTTCTTGTGCACGGCGAGGAATCGACTGGATCGGTTTTTGCTGTACACTTTCAAGAACCGCGACGATGTTCTCGGCCGATCTTGCGTTCTTTGAACGTAAAGGTGTTGACTAATTGTTAACCGAACCGTTTGTTTTAAATTTAGCCACCAAACTGCGAAAGGCCAATACGTCTTACGTAAAATGGTCGCAATGTGAGCAACGTTTGCTCTAACGAATACTCATTTTGATAATAAAGTTTTATCATTTGAACGTGCACATCAGTCGTGTAAATTGCCATGGTGATTTGGAATAAGTAACTGAATAATGAACAAAAGATTGGATATATGTCACCAAAAAAATGGCCGGTCCGCCAAAATCTATCCTCGCCAATTTAAAAACCATTTAAGAATTTGAGTTTAGAAAAATCTTAGTTGGTCAGTTGAATTTTTCAATAGATTAGAATAGAATATTTTTTCGCCATCAAGAAACTTTATATTTCGTTTTTATCCGAAGCCACCGTTTCAATTTAAATAAAATAAGATTGCCTCGATAGATCGTATTCCCTGATATCTCTCGATGTACTTCAAGCATCTACAACTTTATTATACGAATAAAAGTTTTAAAGATTATCTAATTCACGTTTGCAATGAAACAAAAGTTATCCGGCCAGTGTACTTATAGTGCTTGTAAGC